GAACGTAACATCGTAAATTGGGCAGGACTAATATTTTTCACTCTCACACACAGATGAAAAGAGAAGAAGTTTCTAAAAATAAACGTAGTTATTCATCACGGGACATAATTATGAACGCTGGAATGGGTTCGAAGCGTCGGGAATTTAAAAATCTTCTTAAACGCGTTAAAATCCGTAAAATAGTTTCATTTAACAATGTTTAATATTCGCGTAAAAACAAGATATCAAAACATCCCATATCACTGAATTATGTACTTCTCTACATACATAAAATTATATCACTACATAGAATAAAACAAGGTCGCCCCGCTGTCTGTCTGCCCCTATGTATTGCTTAGATCTTTAAAACTACGCGGTTTTTTTAACTAGATAGAGTGATTCAAGAGGAAATTTTATATATATAATACATTGCACCCGCGCGAAGTCGGGGCGTGGCTAGTATTACATATAACAGAAGGGTTGCGAATACGCTATGAATAATGACAAGCTATTGATATCTGTTAGTAACAGACATTATGCAATGTTGAATGTAATAATGCTACTCTTACGCCCGGTTACACCTATCATCGTATAAATTGACTAATCAGCTGTCAAATGGCTTCTCAAATGTCATTTAAGTTGCCAAAAGAATGGGCGTTAGATATGTCAGTTTGCAAATCGAGAGCTTATAGCGAATAATGCAACCAGCGTGACTGTGAACTTAGCATAATAATTACAATCTTATTTTCTCTGTTCTAGGTAATTGCTATTATTATGTAAATTTGTTTAGATATTCTATATATAAAAATATACATATTAAACATTCATAAAATCATTCTCTTCATAATTTAATTATAAAAGTTAGGCAAAAATAAACAACTAGAGGGTATATTAGATATTTGAAACCATTTGTTTCTTTACCATTATTGTGTCGTTGGCGATATCATAAGGACCGCCAACTGCCTTAGAAGAAGAAGAAGAAGAAGAACCAGCGTGACGTTTTTAGGTATAGAAACTCTGCTAACTGTATTGTTTGATTTTCCTCGTCGGCGCTCATTGTAGATGAAAATCCTAACTAATATTATCTCTGACAACGTTACGGTATAAGTCTAGATAACGTAGGTGTTCAGAATCGATGCGTTGAATATATAAATATATATCGAACGCATCGATTCTGTGATTCTGTGATTCGATATATAAATATATATCGAACGCATCGATTCTGAACATTTTTTTCTATTATTTATAGGATTTCGACAAATAAGGGCTCACGTTAATTTTATTTAGTTGCTTATTAGGCGATTTTTTTAACAAAAGTGAAAGCTGGTAAACATACATTAATAATTGCACTTACTAGCAAAAATCTGATACATAAAAAGTAATGGCTAAAATGGCAAAAAGTATTTCAAATTCTCAATTTAAAATTATTTTTAATCTTCTTGCAAAGATTAACCACAATTAATTTAAGAATAAACGAATAACCTAAAACCTAAACTTCTCCATCTACACATGCATTGAATATGAAGGAAAGATAGGGCGCCAGTGTCAATTTCCTAACTACTTGGCTATGACTTTGTCGGACATTCCCCATAAATCCTCCGTACACTTTAATTTCCCTGCAAGCCTTAATAACGGTTTTTTCATTAATTATTATTATTTTATTTACGATCCGTCTTGATGGCAAGAGTGAATAGGTTTTTACTAAGCCAGTGGCGCCTACCCACAACGCCTGCATCGCCAATTACGATCAGGTCGCATGGCAGTCAAGTTCTGGCCAGTTTTGAATTGACAAAAAAACATAAACCCAAGACGAGTGAAGTGGTTTAGGTTGACCAATTACTATAGTCAATGAAATGGGTAATACTACTACGTCATTATTCGTCAGCGCTCGATACGTGTCCTATGCTAGACGCCACTGCGTTTAGCATTGTCTGACGTAGTGTGTCATTCTAAATCGTAAACCCAGTCCACTACTTGTTTTGGCAGGTCGAGCTTCGTGGTCGAAGCTATATCACACGTGAGCTGTTATTAACTTATTTTTGTTTCATTTATTGAGCAATAATTCGTTTCACGTTGAGACTCTTGCCGGTTATCAACAAGTTATAATTATTTTATTCATGACCTGTTGGGTGTACCCGTAAGGCGGCAATGCGCGACAAAAATACTATAGAACATCTAGAATTCTTTTAGAGCGATCACATGTTATAAAAACATGTTACATCATCAAAATCAAAAGAAGAAAATCAAAATTTTAAAGTGACTAACGTCAATGGCAAAACACTGTAACCTGTCCAAAAATGCCCCGCGTGTCTATAGAAGTTTTCGCTAAAAATAATCAAATAATATTTAAATTCAACACGGGCAGTATTTAATTTTATTATGACAGTCAACTTATGTATATTATGTTGCATGGTAACCATAGTTGCATTAAGTTGGCCAGCATTCAGCATATTTTCTTCGGACATGAGTTGCAATCATTTTGATACTTCTCATAAAAATATAAGTTTTTTTTGTATACAATTTTTTCCCTATCAATTATCAGGCAAACAACAAACATGTAATGAGTTAAAGACACGCCGCTAGTGTCATACGGACTAGCCGGTTCGTTTTGGGAAATACCATGGCCTTAAAGGAGACAAGAATTAACACTTCGGATGGGTGAGGTAACCGGGGCGGGCCCCTTAACGACTGGCAACGCATCTGCAAACTTACGTGTGCTGTGAATATCAATGGCTACCTATTTGCAATCACTTAACATCGGGTAAACACTATACTCCTTGTCGCATTATGCAATGATATTATATACAAATAAGAGGTTGATATTACATTAGCGCACCGAAACTGAGGCACTCAAATTACACCAATTGGTGTAACTAGATTGCAATTCTATAGACCGCTCTTTCCGTATAATACCATCTATATCATCTGTCACATTCACCTCTATAATGACATAAGTATAATGTAAAGCGAAAAAAATTTTAAACGCCAAGCAGAATAGACATGTGTCGTCTCTACCATGAAACATTATTGATGTTATCTCATAAAAACACCAGTAATGAAATCATCATTTCAGCTTGTTTGAGTCCACTGCTGAACATAGGCCTCCCCCATAGATTGCCATGAAGTACGATCCTGAGCCACCTGCATCCATCGACTTCCCGCACATTTGCACAGGTCGTCATTTGCACTCCATCTAGTGGGGGGTCGTCCCACACTGCGATGGCCAGTACAAGGCTGCCACTCGAGAACCTTTCGTCCCCAACTGCGGTTGCCAACCCGCTCGCAACTATGGCAAAAACCCCTCAGTAATGAAATATAATAAATTAATCGTTTTGTGTGAAATTCTAATGTTTACAATTTTCTGGCACTCGTGTTATCATATAAAACATTATAATGTGCTGATTTTGCAGACGTCCATTGGATGTTACCGGAATAGTTTTTAATTCCTTGGTGACATCCCCCGTTTAATAATGACAATATTGTGCTGGTAAATACGAGCATTACGCAACGTTGCAGAGTAGCAATTAATTGAGCCTTTAGAGCATTGCAATGATAATCACATTTTGTTCGACAAATACTTTACCTTTTTTTTTCGAGGCAATTAATTGCAAGTAACAAAGAATTTGAAGGAAGACTTCGTGGTTTTAAAATATACGGTTGATTAATTTAAACTTCACTGTTTTTAAGAGAGGCCATTAATCAAAGAAGAATAAGAAGAACTTCACTGTAATATCTCTCTTTATTCTTTATGTTTTATATAGAAAGTCAACGAGAATCCCGCATTGTACGTAAGTATTTCTCTAAAAGTAACATTAGTAACGTTTTCGAACAAAAATTGGATTTCAGAACATATTAGAACAAATATGGCATGCAGTGTCTCCGCCACAGTATTGTAACCAAATAGTGTCATAAGCCTTTAAATTAAATGTACGTGAATTATAAATTACTGGTTGCACTTTAAGCACATTATTTACATCAGCCATTCATTGAAAGCTATTTAGAAATTTAACGCATTTTCATCAAGTAATATGTTAATTTTATAGAAAATAACCCCGGAAATATTGGAAACAATACGCTCGTATCTTATTTCTTTGTAATGTATAAGGAATATTAAGCGTACAAATAATAGAACCTGGAGGACCTACAAATAATAGTACCTTGCTCGATTTTTTTTGGTAAATCATGTATTTTGGAAATAAAAAAAATAGAAAATAGAGAAAATGATCTGGTATAGAAAAAAAAAATAAAAAAAAAGTGTGTAAGTGATCGTGATACGAACCGCGGCCGTCTGTTGTGTGGCTGTGGGGCCGCCCTATTACCGACCGAGCTTTTATAACATTTTTTTTGCGGCGAAATTTACTGTCATATTCGAATGATATTTTGCATTCCCTGTAAAAAAGGACATTTTCTAAAAATAAAACCTAGCTAGATCGATTTTTCGCCTCCATCTACGGACATACTAAATTTCATGAAAATCTGGAGCCGTTTCCGAAATTCCGATTATATATATATACAATAATTGCTCGTTGAAAGGATAAGATCATCTCGTTTGTTGATGATAGTTTCTGAACGATTTTCGTTAGGCCGACGTCAAACCGGCAGCATGTACGTCATACGGCCATCTCAGCACCATTTTGGAATCCTTTTTCTTATATTTTTATCTTGAAGACTTGTCGATTACCAAAAATCATCTCAATCTCAAGGCAAACAGATTTCTTTCTAGGGTTTAGTTCACAGGAATAGCAGTATGGCTGTGCTTAAATGAATCTACAGCAAAGTCTCGTGAAAAATAATGTAAATAAAAAAATTACAGTTTCTCTTGATTAAAACTTTATAAAACACATTTTATAGACGGGCGATTTGATTAATACATTACATCATTATATATTTTAATATATAAATATCTTTAAAATTAAGTATCTTTAAAAAGTTGCTTCTTAAGTATCTTTAAAAACCCACGACCAGAGCGCGAAAAACGAGCGATCATATTATTATGGTTATGCTTATTATTAATTTCGTACCTGTATGGTCCAGATGGTGTGCCTCAGAAGAAGAATAAGGATTGGTGACGCTAGAAGCACAACAGTCAGGACAGCAATTCCTACACCTAGTGTTCGCCTGGCCGACCACACCTCGCGGCTAGCTGAAGATCTAAAAAATATCAGCATGAGAAAATATCAAACTTGCGTTTTTTTATTTTCGTATAGTTTATAATATACTAGCAACCCACTTCAGCTTCGCACGGGTGCAATGTATTATACATATAAACCTGCCTCTTGAATCACTCTTTCTAGTAAAAAAACCACATCAAGATCCGTTGAGCAGTTTTAAAGATCTAAGCATACATAGGGACAGACAGACAGCGGGATGACTTTGTTTTATACTATGTAGTGATAGAGAAGACACTTGGACGCTTAATACAAGTGCATGAAGTAATGAAACTGACATGATTTGTCTGAACAGAGAAAATAAGTACGTTTAAGGTATTTTCTCGCCTCTTATCCGATGAATAAAATGATTATCCGATGGAATACCTAACACAGATCCAACGGTACCGCAAGCGTGAGTCATATTGAGGTAAATGTGAAGACAGAAACACGCTAATTGATTCTGTTTCCTTATATTTCATGTGCATCTTGCGCATCAAAATTTACCCGAGTGCTTACGCAAGTAAATTCATCAACTACGGGCAACTAATGAATTGATTGATGGGTAGTTGCTATCAATAGATCCGGGGAAGTACCAAACCCTTACAGAAACCATGCATAAAGTAGAAGTGTTTAAGTTAAGCGACAAGTACCCTTTTCGTACTTCTAGGAGTTGTCGTGCACCTAGTACAAGGAAAGTTTGATTAACGAGATTTATGGGATGAGTGAGAACCCTTTAAACATCTCCCATCAGACGTTGTTTTCAATATTGTAGTAATATTTGTTACCTGACAATGTTCCACAGCGCTTGTTGCACTTCTATTAAATCGTCCAGTGATGTTTCTGCATGTACTAAGTAGTGATTCACCCAGTGCTTGATATCATCCTTAGTCGGATTGTCGTTCAGATGCAGCACTTCCGAGTTATTAAAGCTGGAATCAGAAATAAGATTTAATTTTACTATACGTTGATTCCTTTGAATTATTTCTTTTCGCTTCAGACAATGATGTTATATCGATCACTCAAATTAATAAGTTGTATATAATAATCATTAACAAATTTAAAACTAAATGAATCACAAATTGAAATACCATAACCTCGATGGCAATAAAATAAATTAACAAACAGGTATGACCAAAAAGAAGAAAAATAATAAACGTTAATATACCTTATTGAATTGTTTGGCAATTAATATGAATGGTACTTCTTAACACAAAATTGGTAGATCCACTCAAATTAAAGTCAATCAAACAGCTGACGGAAATGATAATATATACACTCGTATTTGGCGCCAAGATTAGGTTCATTGGTAATCAATTCTCGGTTCAATTCAATATGATACCGGCCAATTTAAAGTTTTCTTATTGCAATTTATTTTAATTACATTATGAAGACAGATAACATTTTTCCAGTCGCGCCCAATAGAGTTTTGAAAAGTTACTGTTACTAAACAAAAATGCGTGATATATATTACTAACGTTATTCCTACATTTTCCATGATTTTAACTTCCTCTGTCAGTTCCTCCAGCTCCAAGTACTGGATGGTGGACTGCAAGTGATCCTGACCGGAGGCCACGTGTTTCAGGACATCCGCCAGCATCTGCACATCAACTGTCTTCGAGGTAGTGGCGTATCTTGACAACATCAGCACCAGTGAAAACTTCTCCATTGTCTTTAGCAGCTCGGAACTGGCTAAGAGCTGCCTGTAATAAAGAAAAATTACTTCAAACAAAAAATTATACATCACTACGAACTAGCACATGCCTAAATAATTTATTTAAAAAAAAATTATATACAGAAATTACGCATAATCTCCATGCGAGAAATTACGCATGAAGATTGTCATAGTGTGTTCATATAATATTATGTAAATTTTTGGTTTTTAAATATACGTATAATTATATGGAAAATAAAAAATATAAACCAGACTTTTTCATGCAGTTTCCCGATTCCCTAGGTTGTTAACCGCGCCCCAAGTTTGCAACTTCATTGCAAACCGAATTTAATGTTGTGCAACAATATTTTTTTCCCCGTGGTAGGGCCAAGAAACAGTCTTTGCTGTTGATCGAATGGGCAGGCCCGTCCGGCGAAGTACGGCGACCTCACAAAAGCCCGACGTGAAGTAGAAGTGTTACACATTATTAAAAGGGGTCAATGTCCTTGGGCGGTGGTTATCACTTAACATCAGCTGAGCCGTCAGCTCCCTTCCAACATTAAATATTTTTTTTAATTATATGAAGTTCTGTGGGTTCTTCCAAGCATTGCAAAATTTTAACGATTGATGTCATTTTCACCATATATAATTATATATATATCACCATAATTATAAAGTATGTGCATTACAAAAGAAAGGCCTTAACCGGTTATGCATACACTACTGAGTCATAAAAAGAACGAGGTTTAACTGTTTTAACGCTAATGAGATAAACAGATATTATCGACATTTTACCAAGATTATATGAATATGGATCTAATGGTACATGCTACCAACATATGTAATAATATTGTTGTAACATTATATTGGCAGAGCGTTCATTAAACTAAATCTATCGCATTCAATTAATATCCGGTTGTATCCGAAATAAAAAAAAAATAACATAATTATGATATTCTATTTGACTTCACTTCACTTATACTTATTTGCTGATTGGACTGTCTTGTGTATCATTACAAAACCTGATTCCTCTTGCCTTAAATCGCTGGTAGGAATGCACCCAAAAATTTTTACGACTCTGAAACCGTGCCATGCTTTGCTCGCACTGACTCAGAGATGAAATAGAATCGATGATATTCAGATTCTTCTGAGAAATGTACGATAATGGACATTAATGCCCTAATGTTGCGGTAAGAGGAGACTAAGAATATTAGGTATTGATTTAGCCTTTACCATTAAAGAAAAATGTCTGCATCATTCTTATAACCTCAATATTATTAACAAACGGATCTGATGTTTACAAATAATCATCAAATCTACATGATCTATGGTAAAAGTATGTATACTAAACCACGGTACACATACTAAACTATAATAAACTATTCTCTTGTAAAGTGTTTATTAAAACTAATAACTTACCTTAAGTATAACTAATCAACTTTTTACAACAGAAAATGCACAACATGTCACCTTACATTTGGAAAAATATAAATAAGCGACTTCGTACCAAGGACATTGGAAAAACGGAAGACACGAAACAACGATTTCAACTCTTGATCTTCAGATCGTACGGTTATTGGTACTACCACTGGGTCAGTAGCGCATCATATATAAATAAAGTGGTAGAGGTGTACTGTTACATATAGCGCGCATCACCGTAAAATTATTGGATCGGTTTCAACTAATTCTTGTAAGTTTTATTTCTTAACTACTGCGATATCTTCATTTAATACGAAGTTAATGAAAGTTAGTTATAAAGTTTTAAGAAACAATAATTTTTGTAAGCACTGCATATTCAGTGACGTGTTTTCTTGCCGTGGAGAAGTGGGGCGAACGGTGTCCACAAGCACATGAAGTAGCGGATATCAGCTAGGTCCTTAATATTATATTAGATGCATTGAAAAACTAATTATTTTACACAATTGCTATTACCTTGCGGCAACATGAAACTATTTTAGTGAGCTAAATCAATCGATCCTTATGAGTTAATGAGAATGTATCAGAACAAAAGAGTTTCTTTGATTTTCGTTTGTCATAATTCACGGTGACGCAGCTAGAGTATAATGCCCGATTTTAATTTAATTTTGTTTTACTAGTAAAAGTACCAGTAAACTTCAAAAGTAACTGTATCTGAGGTGTGTAAACAAAACACTCAACACGTACTAAATGACTCATCTCTGAGCGTCGTCATTTACCTCTACTGTGTTCGGGCAATTATATAATAAGCGCATACTGTTATTACAATCTGGCGCCAATATGAAGGCTTTAGATACATCACCATATGAAGCAATTAGCTGTGATGATCACCGGACTTCCTAAATGACTTCCCGATCTAATCCCCGTTATGTAAAATTCGAGCCAGTTATTTTGGATATCCTCCTTCGTAATATATATATCATCATCATCATCATTTCAGCCTGTTTGAGTCCACTGCTGAAAATAGGCCTCCCCCATAGACTGCCACGCAGTCCAGGTGATTTATCCAGGCCAATAACGGGCAGCAGCGTTGAAGGTGCGAGGTGTCTGGAAGAACTGCGGTTGCCAACCCGCTCGCCAAGCGTGGCAACTATGGCAAAAACCCCTCATATATATATATATATATATATAAATATAATATGACTCGGAAAAGGACTTCTCGGTTGACAGGGTATTAGGGCATAGTCCTTCACGCGACCATTCCTAATTGGCAGACTTCACATAACTACAAAATATATTTTTCATCACGATGTTTTCCTTCACCACTGAGCACTTGATAAGTCAAGACTTAAATTACAACGAACAATTTTATTGTTACTGAATGGTTGCAGATTCCCAGTGCCATACACTGGGATTCGAAAACGTCAAATATATTAAATTAAACGCGAGGACACTGAGCTAATAGAGGTTTTGCATGTTATTATAGTGACAAGTAAATTTTTATACAAGACAGTCATGTATTAATATTAAAAACGATGTCCCTTGCAAGCGCTCTGTGTAAGGCTCTCCAACTGCTAAGTTTCAGTATTAATAAGTTCTGTAAAACGTTGATAGAACTTTTAACAATTCTTTCTCAATACTGATAAAAGATATGATATATAAAATGTTGTCATCGCGGTAGTATTTTAAGAGCGAGATCACCAGCGTTCGCTTTCATAGAACGCATTTATTATTCTTCTAAAACTTCGACCATTTTGTTCCTTGTGTCAGATCCAAACGGAAACAGGTGAATAAGCTATGTGGCCTCGACTACCTACGACAGGCAAGACACAATTTCCGCCTCCGCTTTTGAATAAAATCTCAAACAAAATCTATCGCATCTATTTTTGCTGAAGAACTAGACCAGTTATCCATTGTCTTCCCAACTTCGTTGAGTTTATTTTATGTTATTTAGAGGCTTTAATTCTCTTACATATTCAATTTATTATTCTAGTCCATATTACTCCAGTCATCTACAATTCGCAAATTACACGCTAAGAAGACCACGAACCATAACTTAACGTTCAATATATTTAAGTGAAAAATAATAACATAATAAATGAAATTAAATGTCTGTTTGTTTGTCCTCTTTGCCATTCTTAGCCATTTGTCCCAATCTATTGAAACTTTAATTGAATTCTTCGCGTTCTGGCGTTAAAAACGGATTTTTAAAATAACTTAAAATCTTTAGACGATATTACAGCTCATGTTGGGAAACGGTGAAAAGATTTGAATATGCCATAATAAAAGTTGATTTTATTTTAAATTAATTTAAAAAAATTATTACGATGTGATTTCAATGTATATATATATATAACTAATATGTATAACATATTAAAATACATAAAAAAGACAACTATAAGATAAGACGTATTAGTAAATGCTAATATACATAAATATATGCTTTAAACAAAATTAAGTGACTTGATTTTTACAATTTTAATTATGTTTACCCTTCGTCGATTGATTTAAGCACGTACATTAAAACCTAGTATAGAAAAAGTAGTTACTTATAAGCAAAGGAACATAATATTAATTGCTGCAGTGGCTATAAAGATTAAAGTGCAGGCACAGATAGAGAAAGAGACGTCGTGTTTTATCGTACATGTGGAGGTCGGAAAATACTTGTTAACAGAATAGATTGCCTCGAATCCATTATGGAATACGATCACAAATTTGTAAACATGTTTTGCCACAGAGATGCCGCCTCGCTTAACTAAAAGGAAAAAAGAGCTCGAAGACGTCATCAGAACTGTAAGCATGAGAACTGTAAGCTGAAAATATATCAATCAAAAACTACTTTGACGGACTTATGACGTTTATTTTTCATTTTAAATCCTGACGGTTCGGCTACTTTACTGCGTTCCTGATAAAGTATAGTCTGTTCCGAGTCCATAAAAATAGTTTCATTTAATAATGTATAAGAAAAACTCAAAAATAATATTGAATCTTTGAAAAAGCAGGAAATATCTAACATAGATAAGACACTAATTATTTAATATTAAGAGATTATTTTATTAAATTTTAATATCATTACTCTTTTTGTGAATTGTTGTCAGAAAATAAACAGGTAATCTTCCCGAAAGATGGTAATAATTATTGTATACTTTATAATTATTTGCAAGTATTGATTAAGTTTATTTTTACAGGTTTAAATCAACCATGGCAAAATTATTGGATAAAAATTAAAAAAAACTAAAGAGATGAAGGCCAATGGATTCCGTCCGAAACAAGCGTGATTATGTAGTATATACATTTAGATGCAAAGAAATGGTATACGATGAAAAATAAATGACAAGTACATATTATGTTTATCTTTTGTTAATTCTTGATTATTATCTTTTTCCTACCGTCGTACATGTTATATCTATATTATAACGAGGAAAGATATTATTGTTTGTATGTATTGAATAGGCTCCGAAACTACTGAACCGATTTAAAAAATTCTTTCACTGTTGAGAAGCTACATTATCCCTGCTTGACATAGGCTTTATTATATTTAAAAAAAAAATAGGGATTCTTACTAAAACTCCAATAATGTTACTCAAGGTGTACAAAAATTACCTAGAATATTCTTTAAATCGCGTGCGCTGCGAAAACTATTGATGATAGAATAAAATTATGTACTACAACTTTGCAGACCACATCATTATTTACAAAAAGTGTCGCGACAGCATATGTCTAACTATTATAGGTATGCCACAATAAGTGTTCTTTTATTTTAAAATTTTGATTGAAATGCCGCCGCTAACAAAGGCTGTATCTTGGTATTAATCCTTATAAAAATAAATTACTTCATATTTAAGACTGTTTCAATATCTTTATATAACTTTTTGAATTATCAAATTCGGACATTCCATTCGAAAGATATCACAAGTTTAAAACTGTTAGTATATTGTAATTTAACTATCCAAACAGCTTAGTGACAGACTTAGTAGTTCTTATAATTTTTCAATCACATTTATACTGGTAATTCCTGTTCAACAGTTAGCAAATTATTTAATACTAAGGAAGTTAAATTTTTTTATCATTTTAAAATGCCCAAAAGATCAAGATGTCATCTTTCTAGAAATAGTTCTCAGGCGAGGACATTAAAAATACGTCATAATGAGGAATCTTTACCGGAAACTGAAAATTGTCTTACAAGTCGGAGAGAGTCAAGTAGAGTGTTTGCAGTGGCTTGAAGAGTATAATAATATAAATATACAAATTCACACTAGGAAATCGAGGTCTGAGCGTTCCCAACGTACACGAGATTAGAGAAAAAGGTAACAAACGTCAACGACTAGAGTTCGTAATCGAGTTTTAGCTCACAGTAACAGATCAGCTTTCATGCATTTTGCTCAACAGTCTTCCGTCTAAATCGTAGCCACGAATAAGATCTGCTCTAAGTGTTCTGCAAAAAATGGGTCGATTAAAGGTAGTCTCCCCAATATTGAGGAGCCGCCAAAACCAATAAAAAATCTTTTTACAAATAATCATTCACCATCAGGACATTTTTAACCAACATCCGAAAGTACAATAGCCTCTTTCAAATGACTTCGTTTGACGCGAACTTTTAAAATAGAGGGACAAGTATACAAGTTATCATTATCCTCCTGCCCCTATCCCATCTAGGTGGGGTCGGCACAACATGAATCATGTTGCAAGCGGTTTTGGCTATATGTTTACAATCAGCCGCCTGCTTGACGTCAACTCTCCTTGGGAAACAAATACCCAGATCAAATTTCAACTGTGTAACTATCATGGTTCATGAGATACAGCCTGTTGACAAAGGGACAGACAGACAGCGGAGTCTTAGTAATAAGGTCCCGTTTTACCCTTTGGGTACGGCATCCTAAAAAGGCCCCAGAGATATAGTGTTGCACAGTAGATACGGCCAACTTAAAAGAGTCTCTGAGTTACACCGATTGTATGATCCATTAAAATATCCCTTAATAGTCGTAATAGGAGAAGACGGTTAATATTTGACTATTCCTCAGCAAGGTACTGTGCGTAACAAAACTGTGACATGCATGCAATTGTATGCATTTAGGTTGATGGTTAGAGCTACCAGTTTTAATCCATTGCATTACTGGGACTTAGTAGGGTTCCGTCCCCAAGGGTAAAACGGCACCCTATTACTAAGACTCCGCTGTCCGTATGTCTGTCCATATGTCACCAGGCTGTATCTCATGAATCGTGATAGTTAGATAGTTGAAATTTTCACAAACGATGAACTTCTGTTGCCGCTTTAACAAAAAATACCAAAAAATATAAATAAGTGGAGCTCCCATAAAACAAAATGATTTTTTTGCCATTTTTATACATAATGTTGACAGTAGTAGTGTTTTTGACAATATATAAGTGTAATACTTCTATATTGAATAAATATATTAAAACATGATTTTTTAATGTGATAGAGTGGCAAACGAGCTGGTGGTTCACCTGATGTTAAGTAATAGCCGCCGCCCACGGACAATTGCAACACCTGTAGGGTTGCAAATGAGTTGCCATCTTTAAATAAAGTGGGCCCCGGCTACCTCTCTCACCAGACGAAATGTAGAAGTTATAACACTTCTATTTTACGCCGGTCTTCTGTGAAGTCGGTACGGAACCCTTCGTGTGCGAGTCCGACTCGCTGGTTTTTATTCAATACATTGTCGATACGATGGCAAAAAATATCAGAAAGATTTAATTACATATTATTTAGTAATCACCAGAGACTGAGGGCTGGTGAAACATTCATCTTAGAGAAGCTTTAAATCAAGACATTGGCTCATAAAACATCGGATCATCAGACATCGGTCAACAAAATAACCAAAGATGCGATGATTTATGTCCGAAGCTATGGGAGACCAGACTTATTTGTCACTTTTACGTGACGTAATTTCTTTAAAAGATGAAGAAATTCATAAAATTATTCCCCAAAGACGAAATATTCGAAAGGTTTTATGTGTGTGTATGATAATTTTTACTTTTAAATATTTTGTTAAATACCCGTGCGAAGCCGGTGCGGGCCGCTAGTACATACATAATTTAATTAATTACGATTAAACCCACCTCCACAAAGAAGATGTAGTCGACTTAACATTCCTCGTCATGAACAAAAAAAGAACAGAGTTGAGCTGTTCATAGATGGACATCCTCTTTAAGGGTACACGCTGATACAAGTTTCTGAAAAGAAATGAAAATATATTGACTATTAATAATTTTACAAAAGTCTTAAAACCATAATCTTCATATATCATTTGGTCAATATAGTGTTTTCGTTAGTTCGCCATAACTTCCATGTTTTCAATAATTATAAATAAGAGGAAGATATTAGCGCACCGTAACTGAGGCACTCAAATTACGCCAATTGGTGTTTGCAACATTGCAATTTTACAGACTACTATCTCTTTCCGTATCATAAGCTCTATATGATTTGTCACATTTACTTATGTGTTTTGTCCTATAATGTAAAGCGGAACAATTTTTAACGCCGCGCAGTATGGATATTGATTCAAACACCATTTTTATGCTTATATTTGCCAAAAATAGACCAGTAGAATAAAGTTAAAGTTTATAAGAAATCTTTCTTATACAGAATGTATGATACTGCTATCTATCGACAATTGGTTTAAATGGGAGATGGAATTTTAATGGGAGGAAAATGATCGTTACATAATTATGCCATTCGGTAACTGATTACGGTACATACCAGAAAGTTTCGCACGGGTTAAGTAATAATATGGCATTGGGAAGTAAATGCTTAAATGTAATAAGAGAAGATCAATACAGAATCAATACTTACTGCATGCACTCCGTTCTAAAATCGCTGCGTGAAAACAAATGTTCTGTTGAAAATAAAAATTAGACATTTATAGTAATATATAATCTGTCTATAGCTATTAAAATGACTATATTATATTAAATTATCGTTTAAATAAAATCAATCATCTTTTTTTTTAAACATTGCATATTGTTATTGGATTTGAACAGGCCTCTATTTAAACTTGTTACGAGACCAAAATATGAATTGACTAAAATTTCTGACAGATTTTTAACTTTTCTTCGTAGGTTTATGTAACCTATTATTATATTCCACAGCAGTTTATTCTACACAAAATACTTTTTTACTACATATTATTTACTAGCTTTTCACCCGCGGCTTCCCTCGCACTGAAGCCCCTAAATAAATATCTTTCAACCCTTTACAGCACTTTTTTCCAATTAAAAAGTAGCCTATGTCCTTTCTCAGGCTCTAGACTATCTGTGTACCAAATTTCATTTAAATCGGTTCAGTAGTTTTGGAGTGAAAGCGAGACAGACAGACAGAGTTACTTTCGCATTTATGATATTATAGTATGGATTTCACTTGAGATACAGCTTCTGATGAAATCATGGCGGGCTTCCAGTGAAACATCACAAGGTCTCAGAAAACCGTAAAATGGAAGAAGGGGATTCAAAGGAACATCAATGCAAAGGATGTTCACGGAATGCAGTTATCATCGCGGTCCCGGTGAACTGGTCGGCTCGTGTGTGACATTTTCTTGTAAAAAAAAAATTAGCAAAAAACTGTGGCAGGGCCACTCAACAGTTTTCGCTGTTGCATGAATGTATTCCATCCGGGAAGCCATTACCGCGATCTCAGAGAAGACCGGCGTGGAGTGCAAGCTTTATACTTCTACTCTTCGACAGGTGAGTGCGGTAATCGGTTCCCGCTTTAGGTTACCGCACTCACCTGTCGAAGAGTAGAAGTTTAGGTTTACGTAGCAAAGGTTAGTGAGCATTTAATTTTCCAATCCCTCTCGACCCTAAAAAGATGTCCACAGAGTCGGATTGCACGTATTTATAATTATTAGTATTTACATCAACCTAATACGGGTAAACTAATGTAACGTTATGAATATTTACTCTTGTTAATGCCATACGTCATTATACGTCAGCTTTCGGTACGTGACCGCTGCTAAGCGCCACTGCGCTGTAAATTTTCAAGCGCAGTGTGTTGTCATCCTGTAGCATCCTTAGTCGTAACCACATCACACGTATTGGCGCGTCAAAATTTGTGGTCGAAGCGATACATAATTTAAATCACACGTGGGCTAATTTATTTTGGTACAATTGATTCATACTTCGATTCGTGTTGGGACTCTTGAAGTTATTAACACGTTATAATTATGCTTTTCATGACCTGTTGAGTGTACCGACTAACGCTTTGACACGGGGATCTCACGTATTCAACAGGAAAATGTAAATGTTTTGTTATAAATATGATAAATGTTATGTAACGAAGGCAAAGTTAAAACTTTCAATGGTAAAATGCTACATTTGCACAAATACTGCTTTCTAACATGTCAACTGTAAAGGCCGTATGTTCACCAAAAGATTGTATGTCACTTGCCGTTGCTAAGTTATTCGCTTCAGCGCCGGGAGTCGTGAGTTCGATTCCCACACGGGACATGTATTTTTGTGATCCACAGATAATTAATCCGGATCTGGGTTTTTGTTTCCCAAGGGGGGCTGACATCGTTACAACATGAAATTTTCGAAGATATGTGACGTCCGCCAATCCACAGTGTGGTCGCGTGGTGGACTATGCCTAACCTCTTTACGACTTTTTAGACGTTTGCCTAGCTGTGGTACTTATATAAGCTGTGATTTTACTTTTATTTTACTATTACAGAATATTTAATACTTACTACAATTTCTTCTTTAGGCCCTTATCGATAACCCCATCCGGGAGTGTCTCCAGATAACCGTCCGTTGCAGATATCGCTTTCCGCAAGCCCGATCTGAAAGCATCAATGGCCGTTCATAGATGGCAAGCGAAGACCTGTGAGCAAACTGCTTCTTTGAAATCTCTTGCAAATCTTCACAGGCATCATAAATGCTGCTATTACGAATTGCAACCTATGGGGTCCATAATAAAAGCCACAGCAAGTTTCTATAAAATTGAGAGAAAAATATTTCAGTATTTCGTTTGTAGATTCTCGTAAACACTGGTTGGGAACAAAGTTGCTTATTTATCGCAAGTTATACCAAGTGTACTCAGTAAAATGGCAAATCAGAGTGAGACCCATAAACGTCTGGAATTTCGACCTTTAAGGCATTTTTGCTATAGTATGTGTGTTGGTATGTTTATAATCGTATGTCTGTAAATAGGTAAAATACTGAATTACAGACGTGAACGTGTGTAATAACAAAATGTTTAATATTTAAAAATAATAAATATCAAATATTATATAATATAAGTATCAACTAAGTATGAATATTTAATTATCAACTATAATTATCAAATAACCTTCTTCGGGTATTTCCTTTATTTACTCACAGTCCCTGTGACATATTGAAAAATTTGACAAAGAGTTGCGACAAATTTGAATGCGCATAAAACTAGCTATATACTCTGATGAACAAATACAAAGTGATTGTGATGGATAAAATCAAATATAGACTGGTGTCTCAGAGTTCACAGCGATCAAAGAAATAAGATTCCAAATGCTAAACACCTTACAACTACTAAAATGAAAAAAGAAAATGTAAATGAATCATCCCTCGTCATAATCTGACAAAAACCCGGACGTGCAAAAAAGTACAAGGAACTCGATTGGATCTGGGGCCTAAGTGAAAATTTAATCTGTGCTCTATTAAAATATAAAATAGTACAAGGTTTTTACGATGTAAAAAAAAATTATAAATACACAATTCTAAACATTATAAATCTACATTAATTTCTTCACTCACCAGTGCGATTAATGCATAAAATGAGAACATTCAGTAGTGCCCAAAATAGTTAAAAAAGACACAATTTTTTTTTGAACACCAACACGTCGCTCGTTGCCCACCGTGATAGATATCGAGATAAACGACTATTAATTTCTTGAACCAGACACATAAGAAAATAAATTTATGTTTATAAAAGCCATGTTAAGGCCGTTCTACATTTCAAAAGAGCAAAAACCATAAGATTGCAGAAATCAATATGCGCAATCAAAGACAGCGTTAGGAAACAAAAGATTGTTTTGAAACACATAAAATTCGCTAGAGCGTAAACACACGGGTTTTACCAGATTAAGTCGTAAATCTAAATGCAATAAAAATAGAAATTTCCTTCGATATATGGCGCATCACTATTGACTCACTATAGGTTAGCTGTAGGGTCATTCAGAGAGTCCATGAGTAAGTGTGTGGTGACCATAACCAGTTGGCGCCCTGTTTGTCACAGGTGAGTGTATATTGAACTTACGTAAAAAAGGTTGACGTGTCTTTTTTAACAAAAGGGGACGCAATGTAGATATTAGAGTTTAACTTAACCGGGCAAAAACACTACACATGTACTTTAAAGTCCGGTAACTGATTTGTAACTATGGCGACTGCCCATGAGCGGTTCTATTCACTTGTCATCAGTTAAACGATAGTTGATGGATTGGCATCCATCTAAAGAGTACGCCGCACATATAAATTGTACCTTTCAATCACCAGATAAATCGTAAGAGTATGAATACTTTCACTTTATACCGGCTAGCACAACTTCTCAATTATAGATACTGTACTATAAGCGAGAGCAACTCATATTTCTAAAAGTTAACTTATAGTTACTTTACACTTTTTCTCTGCTTACAACGGTATAACAGAATAAGAAAACTCCAGTAAGCAGTCTTCGAAACCAAACATAAGACAGCTGTTTTTTTAACAAAAAAACGGTCAAGTGCGAGTCGAACTCGTACGCCGAGGGTTCCGTACCTGCCCATTATACCGCCATAGTTCATACAGGATTCTGAGGTCTATAGTTCCTATTAGGTGAATAAAAATCAAGTCAGCACGATAAAAAAATATGGGCAAATTTAAATTTCCGCGGAAACTTGTAAGTACCAAAATTTACCTTTCTTTTCTTTTTTTAAATTTTTCCTTTATTTGTGATGTGCTTTACTTCTTCGTTTCGTCTGCTGATTAAGGTTACCGGGGTCAATAAAGTTGGCCCCGGTTATCCCCGGTATATATATTTTTTATAAATATTTAAAAAAATTATCCGGGTGTATGGCAACAAAACTCTTCGCGTCTCGTTTGAACACTCATTGATATTACTGAAGTATACTCTTAAGAAATTGAAGAACTTCTTCATCGTTGTTACAACCGTAGAATAGTATACAATAGAGTCTAAACATTTTCATTCACCTGTTTCAAAAGCATCCGATTCCCTAACAACAGTTTTCCCCCACAAATAGGTTAAGGTAAAACCAATATCCATTCTTATGCAAATGTTATTACGCACAAATAGTTGTGTATTTTGTCATTAACTAGTCGGTAACAAGTTGTGAAACGGACGCAAATATCTCAACAAATTCAGAGCGCGTGCCACGGAATAATTAAAGCACGAAATTAGGTGACGCATCGTAACTGCATACGATGTAATAAGGACACACACAATTGAGTGCATTTGACCAATTCGGGGCTACCCGCGCATTATCTTCAACTAGTGACACGCCTCGGCTTCGCACGGGTGCAATTATACATATAAACCTTCCTCGTGAATCACTCTATCTAGTAAAAAACCGCATCAAGATCCGTTGCGTAGTTTTAAAGATCTATGCATACATAGGGACAGACAGACAGCGGGGCGACTTTGTTTTATACTATAAAAACATAATTCAAAATGGAAGACTAGAAAAATTAGATACTTAATGTCTTAGTAATTTTTTTTTTTTTTTTAGTAAATATTGTCAAGCATTACAGTACTGAGAAAAGATAATCTACTTCATTCAAAAAGATGCGTTAGAAGTGATAACGTTTTTCTTTCTATTTGTTGGTGATAGGTT